AAAGGATAATGTATCAAAGTCATGATCAACGCGTGAATTTCTTTAAACAAGTTATAATCAATTTAGTATATTCATTTGTCTTGGCGATAATCTACTCATTATAACAAAGCAAATAGGAAATAGTTATAAATATCATCCAGTAAAAATGAGACCCGTCATTTTTTTTTTTTATCGAGATAAAGGTTAGACTGTATGACTTGACAGAGATGAACGGATCTGTGACCATCATAATGCTCGCCATAAATGGTGATGATATTGACAAAATTGGCAAAACTTAAAGAGCACGTGACGTTTTCATGAGCCACATTTTTGGCGTGACATATACGACATATACGGTAATTTCTACAAAGCGAAGATCTTTATGATATTTAGGTTTATTCAGATTCTTGCTTGATTTTTCAGAAAGAACCTTGATTTCTTTTATTTTCTTTATTGTACAGGTACCACGTACACTCAAGAATGTGAACTGAAATTTGTTTAAATACGTCACGCAATTTCTTTATTCAAGTATGCCATTAATTCCGGCTGGAATTGGTGCCAGTACACACAATTTTTTTTGACAATAGATGTGCATATACTATTTATAGCAGTCGACCCCCTATATAATCACTCGTCACTCCTTCTTATTAGCACATGTTTGTCAGAATAAACTTACTCCTCGATAATCACACACATTTATAATCCCGGTCGACTACCCGGAGAAAATATCCGGTCGCAGCTATTATTAATTATGTAAATTCCTGAAAAAAAATATATACAGTATAATAAACAATAACATACCATAGCAGTTACATCGTAGTAATTTAGTAACTTAATCTCGGATGGCTTTCATGTTTAAGGCTAAGGAATTCGGGACCATCCAAATTGTGTAGCGTTTTGGATGTCATAATTATTATTCTCAAGACCTAAGAACTTATCCCCGGATTTTTTTTAAAAAAAAAAAAATATAAGAAAAAAAAACATTACAGCAATTTTCTTTTAAAATTTGTGATCGGCCAATACCCGTTTTTTAATTAACACAAAAAAAAAAACTGCCGTCGGGATATTTCTTTTTGAGTATAGAATTTTCCTAATTTGATAGATCACCAAGAATTTCTTTAAAAAAACCAAGTGAACCCAACAAATTTTCTTGTTTCAGCTCAGTAAGGGAAGCATTTTGATAAAATTAGGAAAAATCTTTTAGACCCAAAAACTTGACCCATCTATATGTTATTTGGGAAGTTTGCTAGGAAAAAATCAGGCTCGGGGAATTTTTTTTTAAAATTCTGAGATTAAGACTTTATTACATTTTAATCTAATAACATCAAAAACTAAAATGCAATAAAAATCAAAATTTTGTTAAAAAATTCCCCGAGCCTGATTTTCCTAGCAAACTTCCCATTTATTATTATTCGGGATTTCTGGGTCAATTTGTATTGAACTAAAAATATTCAACTTTGAATCAAATGCCAAAAAAAGAATTATATCTATATTTGGACTGGTTGTTCCTATTGTTTTAAATCCAGGTTCCCATTGTCTCATATTAAAGTATTTGTCAAGAATGTCGTATGGGTGCATATTAAATGAAATGAGATAAATTTTAAGTTTTAACAAATATGGGTCAGGATGGTGCTACTTGAAAAAAACTTTTTTCTTTTTTTAAAAAACAAAAAAAACAAAAAAACAAAAAAAAATAAAAAATACACGCAATGTTCATAATAAGAATTCTCGCAATTCTTGCTTGGAGCATTTAGTAAAAAAAGTTTTTTTATACGTATCATGACAACCTTCACATTATGAGTAGAAATTTCAAATTTTATTTATTTGTTTTTTTCTTGTTTTAGACGATTACAATGAAACATATTTTTTTTTTTTTTTTTTTTTTTTTTTTTCGATTATCTTATAAACAATATCTTAAAATTCCACGTCCATCTATTTTTAATTATATTACAATCGAACTATCCTTTTTTTTGCTTTTTTCTTTTTTTTTTTTTAAAAAAAAAAAAAACATCAATTTTTTTTTTAAAATCGTTTTTTAATAAAAAGTATGGTAATCAAATGGTTCAAACATAAAAGTGGCGAAAGTGTTATCCGAAATTGTGTTCATGTCGTTCATGACATTCGTGTTGGAATGAAATGGTTGTAAATTCGACGCAGGTTCATCCTGGTGTTGAAAGATGCCGAGCGCATCATAAGAGGTAGTTAAATCATCGGGATATACTTGAAAATGATTTAATTGTTGATTTTGAAAGTCATTAAAATTTTGTGCTTCATTGTCAGTAATTTGATTGTCGAAGAAATCACAAGAATCAAATCCTTGTTGAAAATTCTCAAAGGGTTGTTGATCGCAATCACCCGTAAAAGAATTAAAATTCCAATTATCATCACTTGAAGTTAATAAATTCGGGAAGGGTTGATTGGGATCAATGAAGGGTTGGTCATAAAATTCATTAAAGTTTTGATTTGGATCAAGAACGGGTTGTTCATGAAATTCATCAATTGTAGGTGAAGTGGCAGCGGTAGATGAAAGGTCTGGAGTTAAAATCCGATTAATAAAATTCAATTCATCGATTTGATGATCATGATTATTAGGAGTCGGGATGTTATCAAAATGAGTTGTGACAGGGGTGAATTTTTCATTATCATTTTGATTTAAAATCCTTTCAAACGAGATCACATTCCAATTACTTCTCTTTTTCTTTTTCATTTCAGATTTAGGATATAATTCATTACGATAATCGAAAGTTGCCTTGGCTAGCCTTTTATAATAATCCTTCACTTCCTCCGGTTCTTTTTCCCAAGATTGACTAACCATTGAAGAAAGGACGGTCATTGGGAAACAATAACCCTCATTCCTAGACTCTCGAACGTACATTTTACGATAAATGATAAACGCATTCGGAGCTCGATTTGGTTTTTTCCCGGCGATAGATTTGGTTATTAAATCTTTTGGACCAATAGGTGGAGGAAATGGGGGTCTAATAAAAGGACGAATGTAACTACTAATCATTTGATCGGAGAAATTTTTGTCGTTATTTTCGTTAATTTGAGAATCGTTCATTACGTTTCGTTTCATGTTCTTGAAATTTTTTTTTTTTTTTGTTTTTTTTTTTATTTTTTTTTTTTCTCGTTAAAAATTTTAATGATTGACAAAGAGAGAAGAACGAACATAAAAAACAAAGGTAAATTCAATCTTGGGAAATTAAACATGGAACAAAATGAACAATTCACATAATATTTATAATTTTTTGTTATTTTTTAATTGAATTCACTACTATTATTTTCCTAATTTGTTTAACTTTAGGATCACGAAACTATTTTTAGCGTTTTTTCTGGACAAATCATGGTAAACAAAAAGGTACAGAAGTACTATTTTAAGAAGTGACCAGTAAGAAAAAAAAAAAACCCCCCTTTTGACATAATGATAAAAACAAGACATTTTTTTAATTACCTGGTAAATTAAAAAGAAAAAAAAATAAAATAAATAATATAATAATAATAATAATAATAAAAATAAAACTGTAATAAAGAGCGAATCAAAACGTTGGTGCGAGTTGGTTTATGATTGTACGTATATATGTCTATGCACATGTTTCCTATATCAAGTATCGAATCACCACTTCAAGATGTTCTGAAATTTTTTTTTTTTTGATATGAGGAGAAGATCTTTTTCAGGAAGTTAAAATCCATTTAATCAATATAATAAAATTTGGAGGCTGTGTTTACTCTTATAACTATTATCTGAATTAAACTTTGACCAACTTGGCTTAGCAGGTCGAGCCAACTCCGAATCCAATCATAAGATTACTACGGATCATTATTCATGCATTAACGCATCAATGCATCATTGTAAACCCTCAAACCCTCAAAACAAAGCACGTCATGCATAAAGGGTTCTCAATCACATTCGCAGTCTCAAATTTCCTTTCTTCGCACTTTCATATAAATATTCCTTTTGTATGAAATTTATTCAAACGACCGACGTGATACATGGTGCTACCACAATTATCTGTTTTGGTCCTTTGCCTCTGTTCCGAACAACAATGCTCACTCATTCTGAATAAAGGTATTATCGTCCCAATGCTTTATTAACATTGTCATTCATTCTGGGTAAAAAAAAAAAAAAAATTCATGTGCGTTATATAAAAACGTTTACTGATTTCCTCATTCTATTTTTACCTTATCTTACTATAGGATTCCTTCACCGACGTTCATTCATGTTTTGATGAAATCAGATGCTGATTCGACCTTTACTATGGAGTGTATTCCGGAAAAGGTTTTCAATACAAGCTTCATGTTTCGTCGTTGAAGTGCCATTTGAAAAAGAGTTTTATCGAAGTGCTATTAACATTCAATTTAATATCATGTTATGGTTGCACATGCCACTATCCATCTCTAAAGATGGAATTGATTTAAACGAATCATTGGATCATTGAGGTGTTCATGTGCCCAAAAAGATTGCAAGATCTTGGTAAGTTATGCATATACTTTTTATGGCAGAGATCTTTGGGCATTAGCAATCATGACTAACTATGATTTATTCATAGCTGATGTCACCTTTGTGCAGAAATTTGAAGAATGATTCGTTTTCTTCAAATAAAATTATTTTTTATTCATATGATATTAATATGATTTGAAATTGCGATATTAGACGATGTTTGTTTTTACTTGGATTCATGCTAATGATGGTGTCATAATGAACATATTCCATTTGAATTAAATGTAATAAATGTGTAAATTTTTTTTTTTTTATTTGTTAAATTTTATGAAATCTTAAAAAAAATATTTAGAAAAAATCTATATTTACAATTCTATATACGTCATAATCTTATTTGACCATATTTTTACTTAATCATAATATTTCCTTATTTACTTACAATGTCTATATAATCTATTTTTACCACGTTTCAACGAAAAAAAAAAATTCCCTCAAATCTACCAGCCCAGAAATATAAAATTGATGATGATAATGATGATGATGATGATGATGATGATGATGATGATGATGATTGATGATATGTTTATAACTGAAGAGAATTTTCGTATTCTGATCCATTGGAATTTACACAAATCCCTTGATATGGTAGCGAATTTAGTAAATAATTGTTATAATTGAGATAATCGATTTGATTGGAATACGTGTTTAAATCATTATTGTATGGAATGAAATCAGCCGAATCGATTTGATTAGGAAAATTGTTTTGGCATGATAAATTTTGATCAAATTGATCATATTGATACGGTCCAACATAATTAATTGGAAAATCGTTATTTAACTGTACATTGAATTCCGCATTCGACAGATAAGGTTGATCCGAGTTTTGAGTTAATACATCGTTCGACATAATAATCGGAGATGGCATGCTGCTACTATTATTCGATGCGCTGAATTCTTGAAAAAGATTTTCGTTAAATGATGAGGCATCATAACCTTGTTGTTCTAAATTTGGTGAAGAAATCTGTGAAGAGACGTTACTATTCGAATCTTGAGAGAGAAGTGGTGATTGGTCTATTTGTTCCATTCGAAATTCCGGAAAAGAGGATGATGATGATGATGAACTTTTCTTTGACTTTGTATCATTCGTCTCATCAAAAAATGTATTATATAAATCATTTTGAAAAGCGATATCAGCGTTCCAAGGTTCCTTCTTTCTTCTTCGCTTGATTTTCTTGGGAAACCTTTCGGTTCGATATTTGTAAGCTTCCTTAGCTAGTAATTTGTAATAACCCCTCACTTCCTCAGATTCTTGGTCCCAAGATTTGGACGCCATGGAGGACACGATGGTCATTGGTAAGAAATACCCTTGATCTCTGGTGGTTTTAAAGAAAACTTTGCGATAAATGATGAACGCGTTCGGAGAACGAGATGGTTTATTATCTTTACCTATGATCAATAGATCTTTTGGATCGATGAGAGGTGGGAATGGTGGTTTTATGAAAGGATGGGAAGAATTGCTCATGATTTGATTTGGTAAATCAGGATTACTTGAATCGATGAAAACGCAAGCTCGTACCATTTTAGGATTTTCAGGATGTTCAGTTTGGAATTGATAACTCATTTGTTTGTAAAAAAAAAAAGAAAAAAAAAAAGAAGAGAGAAAACGAAATTCGATGAGATAATAATAACAATACTGTATATAAAAATTTTTTTTTATCGAAATCTTTGCAAAAATTTTTTATTCTGAATTTTAATTTTTTTTTTTTTCCCTATGGGAAAGGATCTTTTATAGACTTTTTTTATTTATATCACGCGCAAAAAGAAAAAGGTTATGGGTGTGATTATTAATCAAGTGGTTGGCTGGGGTTGATCGAAGATCTATTTTTATAACATAACGTTTTGAGCAAATCCGGCCTAAATAAGGACTTGTAAAACACAGCCGCTTTCTTAATAAAGCGTCATCCGCAGTAGGGACGTTATCACATTACCGATCTAAACCTGTACTCAACCATTATAATACAGAGACATCCAAAAATAGGTTCTATGTATTTTACTTTATCACAAAGAAAAAGATGGCTGAGTAAATAAATAAACGAGGGAATGCTAAATTTCCGAGATATCTCCAAATTCTCCGTTATCTTGTTTCAAGACGTCCAATAGGAGTTTTTCTTTAATAGAAAAAAAAAAAAAATTCAAAAAGGTTTGTATCATTCGGATCTACCGTCCCAAGTTGAAGTTTTTTTGAAATATAAAGATTCATTTTCTAAATTTATCATAAAAAATTAAAATGAATTACCGTGATTACTTATTTTGGTGTCGAATATTTGGATACTTTGATACACAATCACAAATAAACAAATTGTCTTTATTGACAAATTTGATTTATTCATTATAATTTGAACTAATCCTAATTCGTACATGTTTGAAATGTTGCAGCACATGCATTTTTCTCACATAAATAACCATAATAGCATTATGTTAATTTCTGAATAGGTCATTCGAATTAATAAACGTAAACACGATGACAGCGTGACAGCGTGACAGGTCAAACGTGCTTGTAACAATTCAATCCTTTCGTTTTTTCTTTTTTTTTTTTTTTTTTTAAAAAAAAAGAAAATGACCGAGTGTACGCTACAAGCTTAACGTTACCATCCTATATTCTATCTTTGGTGAAACTTTCGCTCTTTCGTCTCTTTAAAAGTTTGGTAAAAGTTGCTTGTGCATAATTGCTTTCTTGGTTGATTAAAATTCCTCCTTTTTTCCGTATTAACCAGTCATGCGACCAGTTTGGCATAGTTTTTCAAAATTATTAATCTACACAGCAATTAATAATCTAATTTTAACACTTGACTTATTGGTGATAGTTGTTCGCAAAAAGTTAAAAATAAAATTTCTTTCCTAACTTGGTAACTAACCGAATAAACAAAAAAATCCTGGTTTTTAAAATCAAAATTTTATGGTTAATCCGAAAAATATTATACTGTACTGTCTTCTAAAAATAGTATCAAATCTACACCCAATTTTTTTTAACGATTAGTTATTTTTAGTAACAAAAACAGCGGCGAATCAAAAATGTCAAACTTTCTGGAAAAGGGAAATGACGAACGTATAAACATGTGATCCCCCTTTTGAAATAAACGGAAAACTAAAAATGATGTATTCGGATGTATTTAGCCCTCCCTCCATTAAGATTATCCGACACTATACTTGTATATTAACATTTTATTTTTATATTTTTAATATGTAATAATTGGATTCCATAATATTTGTGATTTTTTCAACTTCGAAAATTATGATTTTAATTATTTATTTTTAAATAACTTTTGTTTGTTTTTAATTAATTAATATAATAAATCCCTTTTAATTTTATTTTCTATCGGTTTAGATAAACGATTTAACTGTATATCATAAAAACAAAAATACTATGATATGGGACCTTTGCAATAGAACAGCCGGAAAAAAAATCAATTTTACTTTTATATGCCAAATATGATTTTTAGGTCAAAAATATGTTCAGATTTAGCATTATCTCAATTTTTATTTTTTTTTCCAGCCGTTACCCCCTTTTCTATTGCAAAGGTCCCATAAAAGAATAGTATGAAACTGTTTTATATTAATGTAAATTATATTAAAATAATATTATATTATAAAAAAAAAATATTCTACATAATTTACAAAAATATTATTTAAAAATAAATAAATTTAAAAATATTAAAATTTAACTAAAAAAGATTTTTTAATTTTATTACCAATTAAATACAAATTTTTATTTAATAATTTATTAAAATTATAATTATCTATTTAATTATAAATATTTATATATCTTTAATATATCTTTTAATATAAATAATAAATATTTTAATTATCCCTTAAATTGTAAAGATTCACAAACAAATTTATCTATTTATTTACTATATAATTTACCTTTATAAAAAATTAAAAAATTTTTACATTATAACATAATAAATTTTATCTTTTAATTTATAATAAAAATCTAAAGTAGTGGGATACTATCATATAATCTGAGTACCACCATATGATCTAAATAATATAATCTAATTATCATCATATAATCTAAATAATATAATTTAATTATCACTATATAATCTATTTATTTTCGCATATCAGATATTTTTTTTATACTCTAACTATCCTTTTAAATTTTTCTTGCTATCTATATTTTTTACTATTATATATCTAACTACCACCTACTATTTAACCTAACTATCACTATATAATCTAAATACTACACTTTTCTTTTTGTTTCTAAGTCATTTACATGCTAAATTCTATAATAGAATTGTTGGTCTTCTATAGCTATTTGGATATCTGGTTTTATGTTAAGAATACTGACTTCCTGTACCTGATTGGATACTAGATTCTATATTGAAGATCTTACCCTTTGCATCAATTTGGTTGCTTTTCAAAATGCTAAATTGGTGTGCCAATCTTTTCAGTATGTGATTTGAGGATCCAGCTTGATACTATGATGGTGAATTGATAGTGTTCTGAAACTATCATAGGACTGGTATAGAACCAGAGTATTTTTATTAGTTTACCAGTTTCAGACTAGCTTGAATGCCAAGTTATTATGTCCAAAGATCTGGTTGAAATTGTGGAATAATGTTGGCTGAATTTATACTGCACCCTATTGCGTCAATCACGTAATCCTGTTATAGCACTGAACATCCTCTGCTATATAATATAGCAAATTCAGTTAGTTAGGTATAATATGCATTTCTATAGTCAGCCTATTTAATTACCAAAAGTACACCATTTCGCAATCCAACTATTACCTATTAGTTACCAGTATGTGTATGCCAATTTTGCATCCTAAAGTTAGAGATACAATATATATTATCTTGACCTGAACCTATTTGATTACCAGAAATGCACTATTTCACAATCTAACTATTGTCTATTTGTTACTGGTATAATAGCAGGATGTTGTAAGCACTTTTGAGATCTAATCATAGTTTAATCTAGATTAAGATAATGAGTATAGTTTACTCTTAATATAGCAAACTCTTAATATAATGAATTTTTTGAACAAATATAATAAAAATACTCTTATTATAGCGAATTGGCTAATCAAATCTCTTAAAATCTTCACTATA